AGGGACAAGCTCTTGGGGCCCCCTGCAGACTTAAGACAGATTTTGTAGGATTGGGCATGCACGTTGCAGCCTGTTTGTTTGTACTGTTCTTAACAATACTGCTTCCCTCTTAAGTCATTTAAGATCTGTTCAACGTCTACCTCCTCCAAGTAGAAGGTGGTCTTGTTTGTGGTCTTACTTTTTTTCTGGTCTAAAATCCTTATATGTGATCCTTCTAACTATTACCATGCCTCAACAAATTAGACTCTTGACACTGGTCCAGAAAGAATCTCCAATCTGAGTCACCTATAACTTATGTGCCATCCCCAGCTAGGCCAGAAGCTTCTAGGGGACATGGCAGCGCTTTATCCTTACCTGGTGTTAACATGGCAAGGCAGAGTGTAGGGAATCAAGAAAATTTTTCTAAACAGCTCAAGAGTGATCAGTATTTAGGGGCCTAAAATTCCTGGCTGCTAACAAGATGAGAAAAATGGGAAATGGGAGGCAAAGAGAACAAGATGCTAGACTCAGCTATGCACCCAACAGGCTGCAGGACCTTGGGTGACTCCCTTTCCTTTCTAGCCTAAGGTTTCTCTCCTGTGAAGTCATCTGCTCAGATCATCTCAAACTGTGTTCCTCAGTACTCCAGGTTCTAAAGAGGTCTCTTAGGGTAGACAGCAGGGGTGAGTGAGAAGTAAAGCCTTTCACAAAGAATACTGCCATGAGGTCCTATGTACCAGATTTTATGGCTGTGTTTGGGGTGGGGGGTAGAGATTTTGATAGATAATAAACTGGAGAACACTAGCCTAGAAGATTTTGAGCAGCCCTTTCCATAGTATTAAGTCCCCAGTTTCCCAGAGTAAGGTACCTGTGAACCAGTTACATTCTTTAACTCAGTTTCAGGATCTGAAAACATGGCCAGCCCGGCCCTTCTCTCATGCAAGACTCCGGTGAAGACAGCCTGGGAGTGTGCATGGGATGTGCTTACCACAGTGCCTGGCACGTGATGAGGCGTGAGGATAGTTACTACTTTCCCCACTAAGAATTCCTTTTATTGTATCATCTTCCCTGTCTCTACCCAGAGTTTCTCCACCCAGTATTTTGAAAGATCTGTTACCAGTGAGCCACAGCTCTGACGTGATGACTGAATCGGCTGCCTTGTGCTACAGGTGGGCCGTCTTCCTTTGGATTAGGGAAATACTACAAATAACTTTCTCTGACTGTAACATCACCTGGCTGCCCCAAGGTTCTCCTGCCCTGTCTTCTAGATCAGGCCCCACCCCTCCTTCCCAGGGGAGGAAACTCACGTGGAACCGGAAGTGGGAGACGTCCGAGGGGATGGCCACGTTGTAGTGACCCACTGCTTTGTACACGTTCTTGCTGTGTTTCACCAGCACGCCCTGTGGCCACATGCATTCTTCAGTCCACCTACGGGCACAGCCCAACAGTGCCCTTTACCCTGAGTTCAGCCACAAAAGAGGGTACCAGATTGGGCATGGGGCGACCACCAGGGCTCTACTTCTATGTCTATCTCTTAGACACAGTGACTTTCTTTTTATGGATCTCAACTGCCTCATCTGTAAAATGGGTTAAGAGTCATGAGAAATTCACTTTGTGAAGTTAAAAGATCTAGGGTTGATATTTGAGGAATTGTTATGCACCTTTTTCCTCTTTAGGTGTATCCTATTCATCTGTCCTCCAACTGTCCACCACACAGATCTGCCCTGACCAAGATTTGTGTGGTCTTCCAGGACTCTCATACTAGTTCCAGTTTCTCCAGCACCATCTACTTAAGTTGCTCCCTACAAGTGGAGTGTCACTCCTAATGCCTTTTTCTTCTGACAAGCTCTGTCATCCTTCAAATATCAGTCAGCATCCTCCAGGAATCCTTTCTCAAACTCCCTACAGAGTTCAGCAACCTTTAACTGCTATCTGAGTTTTCTGCCTTTCCCCAGCGTTTTGTCACATATTTACATTCCTATTTATATCCCTGAATAGTCTGTGGCCCTTGAGGGGAGGAACAGTGTCTGTCTGATTCATCTCTGTGTCCTCAAGGCCGGCCACAAGACCTGGCCCCAAGAGGCCCCAGTGAATGAGGTTGTGGGATAGTGATATCAGTGAACTTTCTTCCGGTGCTCTGCAAGATCTCCCAGGATCTCCAAAGGGTACTGGGCCAGAAGATTAAGAATCAGTATCTGCAAGAAGCTCCCTCTTTTGCTGCCCTGTTGATTGATTCACTGAAAAAAAGTCATGGCATTTAAACACAACACAGACAAAATGCTGAATGTCAGAACCTAGACAGAGTATTTACTATATGTTAGTTCATTTATATGAAGTTCTAGAGTAGGTAAAACTAAACTATGGTGAAAGGAAATGGAACTTTGGTTGTCCTGGGGGGAAAGAGGGTAGAGGAGAATCTTTGGGAAGAGTCCTGAAGGAATTTTCTGAGAAGCTGGAAATGTTTTCAAAGAATTATACATCTTGGGGTCCTCCCTGGTGGCACATACGTTAAGGTGAAGCACTATGAAGCCAGCCACAGCTGCTTCAGCAAGAGTTCGATCCCTGGCCAGGGAGCTGACCCATATGTAAGTAGACCTCTCCTGTTTTACCTGCTGCTCCCCTCAGCAGTGTACTTTGGCAGTCGGCTTGTTTTGCTCCCCACTCTGTCTCTGATGAATCCTCTCATTGCCCCTGCACCTCTGGCCTGTACCCCAGTTCTGTATCCATAAACAAATCTTTTAAAAACTAAAAAAAAATAAAATTGTATACTTTGAGATTTGTGCATTTCACTATGTATGAAAATATGTAAATTTTACCTAAAAAAAAAAATTTACCACAGACCCAACAGAAGCCAGGTACTCTGCCAGGGGTAAGGAGACGTTTGAGTGCATGACAGGCAAGGACCCTGGACCCTGACCTCCAGGGGTGGCAGTCCTGGAAAGACAGCAAGTGACTGAGCAAACAGAGCAGGAAGCCGTGTATGTGGTGTTATTGGTTTGGGGTTCACAGGGGAGGGACACCAAACCCATCCTGTGTGGTCAGGAAAGTGTTCCTGGACAAAGCAAAATGCTAAGGGATCAATGGGGGTTCGCTGGGAAGAGAAAGATAGGGCATTCCAGGTAAAACATGCACCATAGCCGAAGCCTAGATACAAAAGTACAGAATCTGAGGATCTGCAGAGGTCTGGTCCAGCCTGAGTGGGGTATGAGTGGAAGCATAGTACAGGATGGAGCAGAAAAGGCCGGGGTTGGGGGGTGGGAGGTGGGGCTGGTCCTTGCTCTCAGATGGGAAGCCCTGTGCAGGAGCCTGGAGCTTATCTGCAGACCATGGTGAGCCACGGCCAGGTTCGTCCTCTTATTTAATTATATTCTGCTCTACTCCCTCTTCTCAGAGCCTGAGCCTAAGCTGCATCCCATCTGTGCCTAACTGGCAATGCCCAGTCCCTTTCCTGGACCACATGGACCGAGTCCAGCAAGGACCCTGTCTGGCACAGAGGGCCAACACCAGGAGGTTTGGTGTCTAGCCTCCCTCTGCATCTTGTTCCTTGGCGGGCCTATCTACTAACCTGTCCTGGGGCCTCCTCTCTGCCAGGCCTTGTGCTGGGCCCAAGACTCAGACGTGATTCAGAGATGGTCCCCGTCTCGAGGAGCTTCCAGGCTAATAGGGCAATACAGGTGTGAAAATTAGTATAATCTGGGGGAAAGCACTGTGATAAAGAGTTGTAGGAATGCTAGGCACCCAGGAAAGGTCAGCCAGATGAAGGAGGACAGCCTCATGGCCAGCCTAAGCAGGGCACTATCTGCCTCTGCTCTGGGTGCAGTACCATCCTCCAGCTGGGCCTCCTTTGCGCCCCTCATCCTGTGTTTGTCGCTACTTCCCCCCACCAGGCTGTGAACTCAGGGATCTTGTCTCGGTCATCTCCTCCGGTAGCTTCCCTTCCCTGGCCAGGGTTCACCGGCAGTTAACAGCACCACCTCCTATGACCCACTGAGGCTTTTAAGGGGTAGCCTGGAATGGGTTCCTCCACTGTTCAGAACTCTCCTCTGCCTACAGGTCAAAGTCCAGACTCCTTTGCCCAAAACATAGGACCAGGCCTGGTATGGATTAGGTAGATGTAAATGTCTGCTCAAAGAGGTAACCTAATGACTGAATGAGTGAGTGAGCAGGTGAGAGAAGTGAAGCAATGACTGGTCAAATCCAATCAATAGCAAATAAACAGCATTCAGTGAAGGAGACAGTCAACGAGCTGATGAGCTGACCACCTATCCCCAGTACACTGCCATGCCCCGCTCTGGCCACAAGACCTAGCAGACAAGACATGCTCAGCCATTACTTGCTGGCTGAAGGAATGAGATGATGAGTGACTCTAGACACTGACCCGGAGGGCTGGGGCTGGGCAAAGAAGGGTGGGGCAACTCACGGGTGTTGCAGCACGTTGGAGCACAGCGCTGGGTCCACCTTCTGCCAGCAGCCCAGATGGGCAGCGGCCTTGTGCAGCAGGTCACAGTAGCTGGCAGGCAGCAGGTGCTGCATGAGGATCACTGAGGTGCTGATGGACACCAGCAGGAAGAGCTCGCAGGACCAGCGCTTGTCATAGTAATGTGTGTTCTAGGGGCAGCGGGAGGTGGGTGAGGCCTGGGACACCCGTAAGGTCTCACTCTCTCCCCTCCCTAATTCTCTCTGCTCGGACATCAGGACAGCCCTGCAGAGACCTCAGGGTGGTCTGAAACTAAGGATCAACCATCAACAAAGATCTCACAACTTCTTAATCATGGACAGAAACCCTCAGCCCACTATATTTCTACAAAGAAAAACCGCTCCCACTGCTCACCATTCTGAGACAGAGGAGAAGTTCTGGGGGTCAACAGGCAAGAGTTGAGATCTTGGCCTTGGGCTTTTTAATCTGTGGCCTTGGGCAAGTCACTTCACTTCCTCTGGGCTCTGGGCTATAAGCCACTTGGGAGGTGCAGGGAGGAGTAAAGAACTCGTGAAAACTGTAGCAGGATGTAACTATATATATACTGCAGGTGTTCCCCAGACAGAAGTCCTCTCACTCTCCACTCATTCAGAGCTGTCCATTCTTAGAGAAATGCCTCAGGTCAACTGTCAGCAGGGGTAGCTTCCCAGAGGCTACCCAAGCTGGAAAGCACAGGCTTTTGGGGTCCCTCAGATCTGGATGAATCCTGGCTTTCATATTTAATGATAAAGCAGGACATTATGACAAGCCTGTGCCCAAACAGCCACATGGGCTACAAATCACTGCTCTTTGTATCAAGTATCACGAATGGCCTGCCTCCTTCACTGGTCGGTGCCTCGGGCAGGTCACTTCCTTTCAATCGACCTTGTTTTACCCACTCTAAGATGGAGACAGTGGTTACTTTAGCTCTGAAGAGAACAGATGGGAGTCTCATCACAAAAGGTGGAGTTCTTTATGCAAGCAGGAGGGCTCATGGGGGCAGGCAGGAGGGCAAGGCCGTTCCCCTTCCTGGGGGGGCTACGCACCTTGACGAACCAGACGGGCACAAAGGCCACATAGTAGGCGCTCAGCATGGAGCTGACCAGCACCTCCTTCATTCGCCAGTTGAAGTCCATCTTGAGGAACTCTACCTCGCTGCGGATGAGGCTGGGTGACAGGCAGCAGGCATGGGTGGGCATGGCCTCTGGGCCATACAGCTGCCGTGTGTGCTGCTTCCAGGTCTCCCGCAGCGTCAGCAGGTAGTCCCGGCTCCGTGCCAGGCCACTGACCGCCTCCCGGGGCCCCACGGAGGCCACGTGGCTGAAGAAGTTTGTCTTGCGGAGGTCACAATTCAGCTGCAGGAACGGAATGTACATCCCAAACCTGCTGGGGAAGACCATGATGAGGGCAAGCCTGCCCATGGGCCTGGACCCAACCCTCAACCACTGAGGAACTCTTTACTGTCTGTGGCTTCGCTCTCCCGGCTGCTCACAGGGGAGAAACTACCCAGCCTTCCATCCAGTGATGAGTCATTCGACACACGTATTGGCATTAGTGCATGAGAAGTGTTGTGCCGAGCACCAGGGGTCTAGCAGGAAGCAGGTGCTGACTAACACAGTAACAGCTCGCACTTACTGGCACAGCCTGTGTTCTGGACACTGTACTAAGTGCTTTACCTGCATGCTCTTCTTTCAATCTCCTAAACCATTATTATGAGGATTACTTTGTACCCATTTCAGCTGAGAAACTGTGGCTCAGAGAGGTAAAGGTTACATAACAAAGGAAGTTGCAAGAGCTAAGATTCCAACTCACAACTGTCTGATACCAAAGACCAAGCAGATACTCAACAAGTGCGATGAACAATTAACTCAAAATGTACTCAGTGACACCAAAGAGGTGCATAAGATGCTATGGATGCCTATGTTAGAGGATCTTTAGTTCATAGAGAGCAGTTTGGGAACAAATACTTATTTTGTACTGACTCTACCAGACCGTTGAATAGTACCAGTCCCTCAGAGCTGGAGCAAATTGGTCAAAGGCTGTGTTGAGTGTGTGGCTGGTGCTGTTTGAGGAACAAACCAGACACACCCACAGCCTAGAAGGGTAGGTAACTACAGAAAGTGGGTGGGTGCTGAGCACAGTGCCTGGAAGGTCCACAGCAGATGTCCTTTACAGGCATTCCTTTTTTTACTTAGCTTGGGGCCTCACAATACTCCCAGATCCTGAGTTACACAGCCCCAGAAGGGTCAGCTTAAGAATGCTAAATTTTCTTACCAACAGTAATTTTCTCTTTTCCTATTTTCTGAGGGTCTAAGAAAGGATATGAGAATCCTTGGGCAAGTAACAGCTTCTTTGGGTTTTTACTTTCCTACCTATAAAATGAGGATGCTCTTTACATAAACCACATCCAGAATACATCCTCCATGAAGATATAAAATGGGGATACTACTATTCTCCCAGGGTAAAGTAAGTAAGATAAATTAGAGAACTCTGGCTGAAAGCATAATCTTTAGGGTCAAACAGGCCAGGATGAAAATCACTACTTCTATTACTTACTAGTTCTGTGATTTAGGGCCATTTATATATACATATATATATATCCTCTTTGAACCTCAATTTTTGTAACTCGCCTTATCCTCTGTAGCTTGCACTGATTCTCTACATTCAGATAGGCATGATACAAGCGTTTTCATAATCTTTTCTAATCCTTGCAACAACCCCCAGCATGTGCCTGGCCCACAGCAGAAGATCAATACAGTCTGATTAGAAAAGAAAGAGGCCAGTGATTACAGAAGACTGAAATGGGATTTCCAAACTGTACTTCAGGATACCTGCGAGAATGAGGGGATGGGGCACCTATATGAACATACAATTCAGACTCAAAGTTAGAGTCCATACTTAAGAATCTCCCTGGTTTTGCCTCTAGGGAGGAACGCAGGTAGGTCTTGTGATCCACTCAATTATCTGGTGACAGCAAATGACACAACTCTGATGGGTCAGAAGTTAGAAATAAAAAAAAAAAGTTAGAAACCGCTTCACATGCAAGATGGCAGGTTTCCTTTCAGCCTTCCCACCCAAGGTGTGACAGTAAAAAGCAGAAAATAAATCTATCGGCAAAAAAGAATGAGAGTGGGGGTTATCTCATTTTGATAAATCTAGAAAGTACATGACAGGTGACAGATGAGGAAGGAAGTCATTCTCTAATGTGCTGCTCTTTATGAGCGTCACAAATGTAATTTTCAATTTTCTAGTAGCCACATTAAGAAATAAAGATCATTTTAATACATAATTTCATTTATCCCAATATGTGCAAAATATATCATGTCAACATGTAATCACTGTTTATTAATGAGATGCTTTGCTTTACTTTTTTGGTACTGTCCTCAGAATCCAATATATACTTTACATTACAGCAACTCAAACGAGCCTGTTCAAATCTTCAATGACAGAAAGCAGATAGATGCTACAAAATTGGCTGGTGTAAGTCTAGAAGATGCCTTAGGGCTGTACTGGGGGTAGGCGCTGATCTGCACTGAGTGACCCAAAGGAGACTCTTGCTTGAAGTGGTCACATTTCTGAGAAAGTAGAAGGGCACAGCAAGGCTGAACAAACAGCATTAAACAAAGATTTTTTATTTACTTGTAAGAATTGGCTCCTTTAGTCTCCTTCATACCTCATACAACCCACTGTGAACGTTTCTTCAAAGAAACTGTCTAAACTATAGGGAACTGAGGTCTCGAGTGGGGGTTCCTAGTGTTAGCACCACCTTTCTGGCCTTTCGGGGTCCACGGCCTGACAACTACACCTCACTCGTTCATCCTAAGGCAAAGCCTGCAGTCACTGTGTCCTGGCCACACACTTAGAACTCCCAGTCAAATCTCCCCCTCATGTCTACAATGACAGTGAGAGAGAATAATGCATTTCAAACTACTTAGTCCTTCATTCTTAAAGATAACGAAGCAACCAAAGAAATCAATTATATTTAGAAAACTGGAGTAGAGACAGAAAAATGCTACCTAAGTGGAAAGTCAAAATTTAGGGAGCATACGACATTTTAAAACAAGCACAGCATGCAGGGAGGAAAGAACAAGCAGAAGAAAGAGACCTTAGGAATAAAAACTGTGACTGTTGAAAAGAATCTCAGTAAAAAAGCTGGGAGAATGCACAAAATGATGTAAAAATAAACTATTATATTATTAAAAAAAAAAAAAAGCAGGAAGATAAAAATTGAGAAAATCTCCTTTAAGGCAAAATAAAAGGAGAGAGAACAGGACGTCCAAGAGAAAGAGACAGGAGTAGAGAAGAAAGGAGAGAGGAAGAACCAGGGAGAGTCGAAAAAGCTGAGGAAAAATGTTAGAGAAAATTAAGAGACTAGTCTATGCTATCTACCATCTAATGAACAGAAATACCAGAAAGAAGAGAAAAAAGTAGAAGGGAAGATATTATTTTAAAAAAGAAGAATCCCAAGTCTTTTAATAAGTCCTGATAAGATGAATAACAAACGTTCAAAACATCAGACACATCATTGTGAAATTTCAAATAATCAAGAGATAATATTCCAAAACTCCTGTAAGGAAAAAAAAAAAACTAAGATAATTGGAAACAAATTGGCTTCAGACTTCTCACTAGCAATGACAGATGTTATAGACCATGGAACAGTATCTTCAAAATTCTAAGAATATGAATTTGAACTCAGAAATCTATATTCAAATGAACCATCAGTCAAGTAAGAGGCGAGAATAAAGACATTTTTAGACATGCAAAGACTCAGAATGTATATTCCTCCCGTGTACCCATTGTAAAGAAATTACCTGATAATGTACTCCAGCAAAACAAGGGAGAAAACCAAGAAAGAGGAAGACGGGGGATCCAGGAAACAGTGGATCCAACCCAGGAGGCCAGCGAAGGGGAGTCCCAGGCTGAGAGCTGAACAGCAGGCCTAAAGAGCAACCCCTCCAGACTGGAGCAGGAGGCTGCAGGGCTCCAGGAGGGATGTCTTTGGGGGAGGGGGGAATGGACTCCAGGCCAGGAAGCATGATTGAGAGGCTGGATAAACTTGAGGACATGTTGAAGGCCCATCATTCTTTTGTCAACAAGAAAAAAGAAAGGTAATTAGAAAAGCTAAGAAAAATAAAAAGCTGTATCAGAAAATTACAATCTTAATATGAAGCAAACTAAAAAGTGACATGATTTTAAGCCAATGATGGAAAGTCAGAAAAGAGAAACTATTTGATGTTTACACTTGAAACATTTTTTAAGAGGTCCAAGATGAAAACTTAGTGACTACAGAGAAGGAAGGTCACCAACGCACTCTATGGGGTCTCCATGAATGGCATTTCCACACTCAAAATATCAAGGCCACTTACTGGTTTTTAATTTCTAGAATTTACCTGACCCAAAGAAAGGAAGACAAGGTTAAGTAGGAGAACGTGAATGTCAAGCTTGACAATATAAAAGTGTAGCTGCCGGGAAGTAAGAGGCAGAGGGAAGCAAAGGGGTGGGCTGGGTTCCTAGGATTCTCTTCGTAAGAGGAATGAAGATGCTGACTATGCTGATGGCATAAAAATACAGCATACTCCTATCACTGAAATAAAGATAATCAACAGAAAACTGAAAATACTAACAGTGACCTAATACTGGGAAGGGCTGCAGGGAAGATGCGCTCAGGGGCACGTGGCACGTGACACGAGTGACGGCTCGTACACGCGCAGAGCATTTACTTCCAAATTACACAGGCGACCAGAAACACTGGGGGGTAGCTAGGAATAAAAGTCAGGGTGGGGGGCCTTTTTCATTCTATGTCCTTTCACCTTTGAATTTTAACTATGTATAAGTAAAGTTTCAGGGTATTAGAATGATGGCAGTAACTTGAAAAACACTTAAAACAGTAAGAATATTTTTAAGAATTGGGATTAAAAAACATGGGAGGTGGGGTTGGAGGCTGTTTTTTATCATTAGCATGTTGGCACCACTGGACTTAATTTTTACGACGTATTTAAACTATGTTAAAGTTTTTTTTTGACAAAAAGAAAAATATGAACATTTGGATAATGTCTGTACCTAGGGAGAACAGACTTACTGGAGTATAACCAGAAATTAAGGCTACTGTTGACAGTTTTAACCAGTAAACCCTTTGAGGGCAATTTGTTACATTTTCCAGCTATCAGAAAATAGAGCCACACCTTTGGCTTAGTAGTTCTCTGAAGATGTTGCATAGGGATACTGGACAAGTATGCAAAGATGTGTGCAAAAAAAAGCTCTCTCATTATTGCTTTGAATAGCGAAAAGCTAAAAACAACCCACAAGTTCACCAGGAGAAGACAAATAAGAAACTGTTTAAAAAGATCTATACAACGGAATACTATGAGGCTATTAAAATAAAAATAGGGCAACAGATTAAAGGGCAGCACTATGAGGCAATCCGCAGCCACGGGAGCACGAGTTCGATCCCCAGCCAGAGAGCTGACCCACATGGCGCGGCAGACCTCTCCTGACCTGCCTGCTGCTCCCCTCAGCAGTGTATTTCAGTACATCTACCTGTTCTGCTCCCCAATGTCCTCTCACCACGACCCCACATCTGTGTCCGTACCTCAGTTCTTATATGCATAAATCTTTTAAAATAAATAAATAAAAAAATGCAGACCCGTATGTACTGCCTGTAAACATCCAAGTTATATGATGTAAAAAATGTAGTAAGTTGTACATCAGAAAGAGTATAATCCCACCTTTGTTTGGATAAAGAATGTGTGTAAACAAGTTCGGAAGGATATACTGTCAATATGGCTTTCCAGAGATGGAGATTCTGTGGGGCTTTCATTTTCTGTTAAAATTTCTGTAACGTTTAATGCTTTATTAGCATACGTGTCTGTCTTAGAGTTAAAAAGAAAGTGTAAGTGCAGCAAATGCGGTGGGTGTCCTCGCACAACAGCGCCCTTTTGGTCATGTGGGGCAGAGGGAAGCGTGCAGCTTTGAGGCTTCTCCATGTACAGGTTTGGCCTGGCCTGAGGAAGTTCATTATCCAGAAAGCCCAGAGGTTGGGAAATAACTATCAATGCCCAGGCAGCCAGGAGCCAGCCCCAGGGGCAGCCAGAGTAGACACCGTGGAAAAGTCACCCCCAAATGTATGTATATACGCACAAAAGGGCAGTCTGCGGCTCTTTCCTCAATAATCCGGGTTCTGGAGAGACAGTGGGCAAGGAGGTGACAGGGTGAATGAGCGAAACAGACAAAAAGACAGATATGTACACACATGCGTGTGTAGACACACACACAAACACACGTGTGCTTCATGCTCACACACAGGTGCTTACAGGCCTAGGGAAGGCACCACAGATGACACACACACTGAAATTCACAAAGATACAGAGAGAAAACCAGAAAAGGAAAGGAAGAAAGAGGGAGACATCCACCCCAGGATGTTCTGTGGGAACACACTCAGATCTGAGTCCCATTTTGACCTCCCCCTCGCTGGCCTCCTGCATAAATTCTGACCTCTCAGTTTCTGCTCTGTGGGACACTCTCCATTAGACAGTGAGGGATACTGTTGCTGCCCTGCCTATGAGTCTCCCAGGTATGGGGCTGTGGACCCAGCCACACCCAGGTCAAAGGCCAAGAGCGGGCACTAGGCAGTGAGGGGTACTCACGGATAGCAGAGGAACAGGAGGTTCAGGAAGGAGTAGGTCCTGAAGAGGTGGATGAGGGAGCGGCACAGACTCCAGCCTGTTGCCGTGAGAACGGTGAAGCGGGTGAGGAACAGCAGGATGGAGCGAAAGAGGGAGACCTTTCCCCTCTGAGAAGCCTGGGTCAGGGCGAGATAGGACGGGATGGAATCTTGGGTGGAGATCACAGGGGCTGTGCCCAAATCCCACCCCGCATGTCCTGAAACCCACCCTGGGAAATGTGGGGCAGCAGGCTGGGCAGAACCAGCAGGGTGAATCCTCTTTGACATCCAGTAAATTCTAAGAGTCAAATGGAAGTGTGCAATGCTCTTCGACCAAGTCCAAAGGGAACCCCAAAGAAACGCCTCAGGGTGGAAGGGCCTATGTCCTTGGCATCCCCGGGAGATAGAGGAGCCCAACATCCCCGGTCAGCCTCTAGGACCCAATCACCTCCTTCACGATGGACCCAATGAAGCGGCGGCCCAGAACAATGGTGGTCACCATCAGCAAGTTGAAGTCGATCAGGTGGAAATTCTGTCAGGGGGCAGAGGCTAGGGGTCACATGGGTCCCCTGCCCATGTATGGGCTTTTCTCATACCCCCCTCCCCTGCCCAGCCCTTCCCATAGGGACTGTTCCCACTCTGACCTTCACAGGTCTTCAGCTGAATCAAGCCAGGGAATTACCCAGAGGGGTAGAACAGGACCCAGAGGAGGGAAGTGGGACAGTCCCTGGTGATGAGAGTGGTGAGGGAGCTTTCTTGCTGTGATCACCCATGCACCTCTCCTGCACAGAACTCTTGCCAGTCCCTGAAACATTCACATGTACCTTTGGTTCATCACCCCATAGGACTGATACTGCTCCTTTTGGTAAAATTTGTGTCAGATTCACCTCTGTCCCCCTTACAAGGTCTAGAGTAGTATGAGCATATTAGGAGCAAGTGTTCAGGAATCATCAGTCTCCTGTTTCTTTTACACTGTCCAACATAGGATTTAGCGTACAGGGTGGTGGGTAAGTCATGCTAAACTGAAACCAGAGGTGTGTTTATCTGTCTGCTCTGTCTGTCTATCTCTCTCTCACACACACACACACTCTCTCTCTCTCTCACACACACACACACCCTCTCTCACATACACACTCTCACATACACACACACACACTCTCTCACACACACACTCTTTCTCACACACACACACTCTCTCTCACATACACATACACACACACTCTCTCTCTCTCACACACACACACACACACACACACACACACACACACACACACACACACTCTGTCTCTCACACATACACAGCTGGTCCTAGCTGGGCACCTACCAGGGAGGTGTGGGAGGGTGGATGGGAGGGTGGATACCACCACACTGTCTTGTAAATGTTGATGTAGTGGACGAAGAGAGCTATGAGCTGGCAGAAGAAGAGCTGCAACTCAAAGAGAATGCTGGCTTGGACTGGCAGCTCAGGGATCTTGCAGTGCTGTAGAGGCACGACCGTCTGGGTGGCCAGTGGGGGGCTGGAGAGACCAGTTCCAGAACTGCTCCTAGGAGTGGGGAGGGAACAAGGTCAGGAGCCAAGAATCCTACCAAGAAGGGCTTCTGGGGGACAGAATTGTGGCACAGAGCCAGAGAAGCAGCTCCTGTCAGACAAAGGCACCCACAAAGCCTTTTCCTCTCCCCAATCATATTCAGACACTCTCAGAAAGGAAAGAATTATTAAGTCTCTCTGACGAGATGATCAAAGACGGGAAACAACTTGTCTAAGTCTCCAGTTTATCAGCAGCGAAACTGCAGAATGCAGGTCTTGGGTCTGTTGCACTCTATCCCACTGTACCTGTCCAGGTAGTACCCTCTGGATTTTTCTCTGCAGCACACTGCCCTTTAAGTTGGCATCTGGGGTATCATGCTGTAGAGCCCAATCAAGGAGAATTTAGTTCACACAGCCCCCACCACTGCTCACCATGGACAGAGCCCGCAGTGAGGGCAAGAGAGAGGTGGTTTACCTGGTGCGGGAACGGACACTGGTGACGGATGCGCTGGAAGTGTGACCCCCACCAGAGCCCCCTGAGGATCCTGGCTCACAGAGTGGATTGCGACAGTAGGATGTCCTGTTGGGACCTCTTCTTCCTCCTGTGGGGCTCAACACAAGGCAGATCCTCAAGCCAGAGGCCACGTAATAGGATAATAGCAATTATACTGGCTACCAGTTACCTGGTATCTCACTTTACTGCTTAATCCTCAGAGACTTCTGATCTAGCCCTGCCCATCCCTCTAACTTCATCTGCCATTACCTGCCTCATCCCCATGATTTAGCTGTCTGGTATTTCTCTCCTTAACCAAGTTAAGTTACCTTGCATTTGATGTTTTCTCTGTCTGGAAACTGCCATCTTTGAAGTGGCTGTCTTATCACTCTGTCCTCTTTCCACTTTTTTTTTTAGTGATAAAAGCACAACACATAATTTCAGAAATCTTGAAGCAATCATGGTGATGTTTAAATTTTTGAAACAGGGTACCTTGGTGTCACAGGGTTTAAAGTCTCAGCACTATCAAGCTATCGCCAGCCACTATCGATCATAAGTTCGATCCCCAGCCAGGGAGGTGACCCACATAGAGCAGAAGACCTTCCTTCAGCTGTGTATTTCAGCAGATCTGCCTGTTCTGCTCCGCACTCTGTCTCTAGTGAATCCTCACTTCCCACACCTCTGGCCTGTACCCTAGTCCTTGTATGCATAAATAAAAGAAATATTTAAAAATAAATTTTTGAAATAAAGTTTTACCAAAATTATTTGTTTTCAAACATCACTATTTATTTTCCCTTTTATTTCTACTTTTACTCACAACTTACTTGCTGAATTTATCTCATTTGATAACATATTTATAGTCTGTCTTTCCTACTAGACCGTGAAATCAGTAACTGAATCTATGCTTTTTTTTTTTCAAAGATTTATTTATGCGTACAGAACTGGGGTCAGGCCAGAGGTGCACGAGCAGTGACAGGATTCACCAGAGACAGAGTGGGGAGCAGAACAGGCAGACTGACAAAGTACACTGCTGTGGGGAGCAGCGGGAGGTCTGCCGTGCCATGTGGGTCAGCTCCGGGGCCGGGATCCAACTCATGCGGAAGTGGCTTTAGCTTCTTAGTGCTGTGCTTTAACCCACTGCGCCAGCAGGGAGGGCCATCAATCTGTCTTTTTAACTGTTGTTCCCCTATCTTAGTTCCCAGGATTAAGTGCCCTGCACACAGATGTTGAAGTGAATGAACTGAGCAAAGTTTTCTACTGATTCGGAAACTGAGCTTACACCACTACAGGTAGTCTGGGGGTCTGGATGCTGAGTGCTCAGCGCTGGTGTATACTGTCCCTCCTGTAGGCTTAAAATTCTTGGCACCCTTGAGACAGTTTTTCCATGCAGGCACTGAGATCTGGCTAAACTGACATCCTGGTGTCTCCTGGTCAAGATCCAGGGGCTGAACACAGAGTCATGGATGTGGACCCTGGGAGAAGTGTGTGGCTGTGGTCACAAAACTTGGACTCACGATCTCTTTCTCTAGAGTTAGCAGTCTAGCCAGAACTCTTCGGCCCCACTTTGCACAAACGTCCTGTATAAAGTCCCTGAGCACCACCCAATCCGGGTCAAGTTATAGGTCATGCCCTTTACCGCAACACAGCAGCCTACACACATGCCCTCCACAGAGAGGAGCTTTTCCCTCATGTCTCCATAAAGGACTGATCCAGGAACCCAGCTCAGAAGCTCATACACTATTATACTTGGCTTAGAAAATCCCACACAAGCACCCTCAGCCCTCACTTACTCGCCGCTCTGTCTGTGGTCTCTCTTTACTTAAAATCCTTTAGCCCAGAAGTCCCGCCTACACAACTGACAAGCCCAAAAACTCCGCCCCAAGACAAAGAAAGCTCTCTCAACCCAGAAACTCCACTCCGGAATGGGCTTCCTTATCTTGGAAGGTCTCGTTCCAACCCCACCCACCCCGGAGCAAAACCCTAACGGATCGGAAAGCTCGTCCTCACACAAGCTCCGGAAGCAAAGACCCCACAGATCAGAAAGTTTGTCCCGGCACTTTCACCAGAGCCCTAAAGCTCCTCCCACAGCACGAGGGCCCCGCCCACATGTAAGCCCCGCCCCCTTCTAGCCCAGGTGAGCGGGTCCTCATCAAAGCCTTAACCCCACCAGCCTGCAGCAGTCAGAAGCTCCGCCCACCACGCCAATGTCCCGCCCCCAACAGCAGAGGCCCCACCCAACAAGGAGGGGGCGGGGTCCCACTGCGCCCGCATCCCTTCCCCCCTCTCGCCGGGATCCTGCCCGCGTGGGGGAGCAATTAAGCAGCTTGGCCATCCTAACCCCCGCGCCCGCCCGTTCCGGAGCCGAGCTAGACCCACTATGCTCACCCATCTCCTCCCCCCGGCGCGCTCCGCTTCGCCGCCGCAGCTCCTGCGGGCAATATGTCGGAGGCGACGGCGGCCGGGAGAGGACTAACCGCCGCAGCCCAGTCCCTGGGTATCCGCCGCGCGCGCCCGTCGCGCCGCCAAATTTGCATACAAGGCGGGCTTGAAGCTGGAAGCGCGCTTCTTAAAGGGGCCGCCGGAACGGAGGCGTTGCCTGAGCGCTCTTTGTCTCGGGTCCTCGCGCCTCGCCTATTGCGGATGCTGAGAGCCTAGAGGGAGGACTACCCACCTCCTGCTCTTCCCGTGCGTGCCTTCTCCAGCATCTCTGGAGGGAGGGGCAGGGGCTGGAACCTCCTCCTGGCTCCCATCGCAGAGGAGCTGTCCCTTGGCAGCCCACAGGCACCTCCAACTCAACGCGCCCGAGTTGGAATTACATCTTTATTGCATTGTGGTCTGTCCCAGTCAGAATCTGGGGGTCATTTTTCCCCTTCCTTCGGGTCCCACATCCAATCTCACCTATTGTTGCTGACCCTAAATCCTAAATATTCGTTACATCAGGCCCTATTCTGCAGCCATCTCTTTAGTCCAAATCCTGACTGCCCTATTCGAGCTTTGCAATCTTGTTTCTTACCAGCTCTTTACAATGAGGCTGATAATACCTACCATATCGGCCTGGGAGAAGACTGAATGAGATGATGCATGTACAAGCGTCTGTTCGAATCAACGTTAGCCATTTTTATTACGGTATTTGGCCAGCAACACGGAAGCACTCAATACATGAGCTACTGCTCCTAATTGTTATGACTCCTACCTTCAGAAACTGCTCCATCTCTTAGGAAAGAGCTTAGCACATAGCCTACACGAATATTCAATTAATTGTATTTGTAGAATTTTAATTAAAACGAATTCAGTTAAATGAGGGGAGATAGATAAAAATAAAATGAATAAATTCTGTATTATGTTAGATGGGGATGATTGTTATGGAGAAAAAACAGGAAGGGGGGATTGTTACAGAGAAAAAAACAGTAAACAGGCCGGTCAGAATAGGCTTCACTGTGATGGTGACTTTTGAGCAAACACTTGAAGGAAATGAATGAGTCAGTCGTGCAGATATCTGGAGAGGAGGGGCATTCCAGGCAGAGAGGCGAGTCAGTGGAAGGAGGGGCATCAAGTAGCAGTGACTGGTTTTAAGCAAAAGCAAGGAGGCCAGTGTCTCTCTGATGGAGTAGAATGATAGTTGGAGGTGAGATGCTGTGGTGCCAGGTTTTTATCCTGAATGAGATGGGTATTTATGCTGAGGGGAGCAGTGGGTGAGACAGGTCTGCTGTGCCATGTGGGTCACCTCCCTGGCCAGGATGGCTGCAGGTAGCTTCATGGTACTGTGCTTTAACCCCTTGGCTCCACCAGGGAGGCCCTATACCCCAATTCTTGTATGCATAAATAAATCTTTAAAAAAAACAAAAATGACATAGCACTATCAAACTATTGCCAGCCACTGCAACATAAATTCAATCCCCAGTCAAGGAGCTGAGCCACATGTCTCTCCTGTCTCGCCCGCTGCTCCCCTCAGCAGTGTATTTTAGTCAGTCTGCCTGTTCTGTTCCCCACTCTGTCTCTGGTGAATTCTGTCACTCTATACCTCTGACCTACACCCCAGCTCTTGTATGCATAAATATCTTTAAAAAAAATAAAAGACTCATTCCAGCTGCTGTGTGAGAACAAATTGTATGTCCAGAAGGAAGATCAGACAGGAAGCTATACAATGATCTTAGTGAGCGCTTAGTAAGCGAGGGCAATGGTTTGTATGATTAAATGGCATGATGAGCCACAGTCGGATCCTGAAGATAAAAGCCAGCAGAATTTGTTGACAGATTATATAGGCTTGTGAAAGAAAGATCAAGGATTACTCATAGGTTTTTAGCCTAAACAAATGGAAATTACAGATTTTACACTGTCAGGTCTTCCCTTCTGGGGGAGAATGACCAGGCCACAAAGCAGTTCACAATAGAAACCAGGTTTGAGAGTCTGTGTTTTGACCAAAGAAATTGTGGGAGAGCTCTTATGGCCTCTTGAGAGACTGCTAAATTTGAAATGTATCCTATTTCAAAATCCTCAAAGCCTAACACTTCCTGGCATATGATAACCATTCAACAAATATTAGATCAGTTGACTGAGCTAGTGGCAAACTGGTTGAAGAGATTTCAGGAATACTGAATGATTTCCATGGAATACTGAGATTGGACCATTCTTGGGAACTGGTGTCAAAAATCTTATTTTTTAAGATTTATTTATTTATGCGTACAGGAACCAGGGTGTAGGCCAGAAATACGGAGTGGGAGGAGAGAGACAGTAAGGAGCAGAGCAAGCATATGCACTGAAATATTGTTGAGCGGAGCAGTAGATGATACACAAGAGGTCTGCTTTGCCATGTGGGTTATTTCCTTGGCTGGGGTTGAACTCATACCAGTGTCTGGGAATAGCTTGGTAGTGCTGAGACTTTAACTTCTGTGCCACCAGGAAGGCCCACAACAAGCATTTTGAATATCTACCATATCCTGGGGTACTTGAACTAGAGATGCCACTCATGACTGTGTAGACAGGGAATTATGGCATGGTATACTACAGTGCTGCTGTACAATTGTGTTGTCAGAAAAGTCCTGATGCAGTTTTGCTTGAAAAACAAGCAAACAAAAATGTCATGACTTTTCTGACAGCCCAGTATATAACATAGCAGTATGCAGCAAGTTCAGAGGTGGATGAATAGAAGGTGACTGACAGGAGACCTCACAGGCCAGACAGCAGAGAGATGGATAGGAACTCCCATTATACTCCTTTGGGAAGAAGTGATAGCTTGAGTCTGCTAACTGCCTCATGGGGGGGTGGCGAGGAATATCTTGCTGTGCATCTTTTATGTTGCCTTGTGCATGGCAACTACTCAGGAAATGGTTCATGAGTTGAT